GGAAGGAAAAGTATTGAGTTGAGAAGGGTTGCAGTTTCAAGCTGAAATGATGAGTGGAAAGTGTAGCAATGCTCCCATGGAAGTTTTTTTATAAGTATTTGGAACTTTTGGCTTGGAATGTGTCTCTTGACTAGGACTATAGCCCTCAGATACATTTGGTTTGAGATAATAGTTGAAACCAAGAGTTAAATTCAGTTTGCTGAAGTAAAGAATATGATGAGAGGTGAGAAGTCTAGGGATAAACTTGAGCGATGGCTTCAGCTTTTCAAATAAGAAAATGAGTCATGGAAGGAAATGGCATGAGAACCAGAGAGAAGAGAAAAAAATGAGAAAAATTCAGTGCCATAGCAGCCAAAGCAACAGAGAATTTGAAGGTGGATACTGAAGAGTGCCTGAAGCTACTGATTCATTAAAGATTAAGAAGACTGAGAAAAGTCCAGTGGATTTGCAAGTGGTTTTAGGAGATCTAGAAGAATTTTGGGAGGCATATTGCAACCATATGGTCAGAATGAGAGTGAAGGCCTATAAATGGTGAGTATAGCCACCAGTTCTAGTTGCTGGACAGTGAAAGTGATGGGGAAATGATGACTAATGAATTTTAAGAGAGGAAACATTTGCATATGTTTGAAAGCATAAAAAGGGTTGGGAGAGAACTAAATAGAGAGGCAGGAGAATTTCAGAAATGAAGGAAACCTGATCTTCCCAGAGTGCCTTTTCTGGGCCAGCTAAGATGCTACTTGTTTTATTAACATCTTATTTAATTTTCACAATAGTTTGTGAGGTAGCCATTTAATGCCTCATTTTACATACTGGGAATTTCAGGTTAAAGTATATGGTAACTTGTTTTAAGTGAGTGGAGAAGTCTAGGCAAGTCTGAGCCTCTGTTCTTCCTCTAGTACCCCTTAGGCATTAGAAGGCTGCCATAGAGGCTGTGCTGAGGATGTAGGGAGGATTACAGTATGTTCATTCTGCACAACCAGATGTATTCTGTGGTGTGCACACTAATGTGGAGAATATGACAATTGGATATGGCTAAGGTAGCAAATGTGTTTGTGGTGGTTATGAATGGCAGATGGACATAGGAGTCACTAAGTGCTTTGAGATGCTGGGGAAGGGCTCTGTGTAGTTGGAAGAAGGGTGAGGGGAGATTAAAAAGAAGAAAGTTATCTGTCATAAAAGCAGCTATGTTTGATCCCACTAATGTCAAACTATATGTGTAGACATACACAAAGAAATGCATGATAGTTTGATTTTCAAAATGGCAGTTGGGGGTGAGCTCGTTGGGGTGATTGCAGATGATTTAATTTCAGAATTTTTATACTTTGAACTTTAATATGTGTTTGAAAATTTTACAAGAATACCTGGTTTATATAACCAGACATGGCAACACAACTGATTTTGTTGTGTGGACAGCAGTTTGTTGGATGAATTGTTGTTTGCAGAGTCATTTCTCTTTCTGGTGAACTGGTGAAGAGAAGATTTGGTACTGCTCCCATTGACAGGTTGATACTACTGAATGCAATGAGAAAGTCAAAACGAGGTGGATTTTTCCAGCTGGCTCCTGAGTTAGGGTCCATTTCCTTGTACTTTCCTTACCATACCATTTTGTTGGAACCCCTGGCCAATTTCAGAGCAAGAGCCTTTCTGGCTGTAGGAGAGGACTTAGTATTTTAGTTTGCATCTGGGATAACCTGGAAGTGCTGGGGAGTTAATACTAACCTTAAGAGCAGCCTCAATCATCAATGACTGGGAGTTCATGGTAAACACCTCAGCTTTCTGACTCTTAGGTAAGACATACACGTCCAGATCCCAGAGGGCCCAGAAGGCTCAGCTTGGCCTGTAGTCAGTGTCCCTCCTTTTGGCTGCTTTTCTGGTCTCTCTTTCTACCTCTCCACCAGTGCTTCTTAGGATCACCTTCCACACATTTCTTTTTTTTCTCCAAATTCCTATCTCTGGGCCTGCTGCTGAGAGAAACCAACCCAAGAGAAGGTCTATCACTGTTTATCAGTGTCTTTATGACTATGCCTGCTTTCATGTCCACAGAGCTCAGGAACTTCCAAAAGTGGTATCTGATAGGAATACTTAATGTTTGCTATGGTGAAAAGGAAACTGAATGCTGACAAAGAGCTGCTGTCTCTTATTTCTGCACCCTGCTACTGAGTGAGGAACTTGTGATGAAACAACCCGTATCCCTGACTCATAGCACTCCCTCACAAATATGAAGTTTGCCGGTCACGAGGGCCACAAGTGACAAACTCCCTCATTAAGTTCTGACTTTGAGCAATAGCAGTCTTACCCACCCTCTTCTCTCATCTGCAAGTCATCTTTCTGTGTCCTGAGCCAAATTTCAAAGGGCTTAAGTGGCTTTTCTATTTCACTCTCCTAGTGCAATTCCCCAGCTGTGCAGCTGTTGTTGAGGGCATGTGGTAGATTTCATCCATAACTGAGACACACACCCAGTTGGCGGTAAAGTGAGGGTGAAGTGGACACTGGGCTAACAGCAAACTGGGGTGTGTAGCTGGAAAGACTGTGAACTTCTGTATGTTAGTAGACCTATCTGCAGGGAAACACTGTGGATACAGATGGAGGTTCTCTTTGAAAACTGAACCTTGTAGACTACAGGTCTCTTGCAGACTTTCTCCCCACTTATCACTGGTCCAGTGTTTTATTTATTATTATTATTTTTTTTTTTAGCCCAGACTGGTCTTTATTTTTTTAATTTTTTTTCTTTCTTTTATTATTCATATGTGCATACAAGGCTTGGTTCATTTCTCCCCCCTTCCCCCACCCCCTCCCTTACCACCCACTCCACCCCCTCCCTCTTGCCCCCACCCCCTCAATACCCAGCAGAAACTATTTTGCCCTTATTTCTAATTTTGTTGTAGAGAGAGTATAAGCAATAAAAGGAAGGAACAAGGGTTTTTGCTGGTTGAGATAAGGATAGCTATACAGGGCATTGACTCACATTGATTTCCTGTGCGTGGGTGTTACCTTCTAGGTTAATTCTTTTTCATCTAACCTTTTTACAGTATTAGGAGTTGATCTCATGGCCTTATGCTTGTTGCCAGGGAAGCACTTTATCACTTAAGCCACACCCCCAGCCCTTTTTATGCTTTTGTTATTTTTGGAATAGGTTCTTGCTTTTTTGCCCAGGCTGGCCTAGATTACAATCCTCCTATTTATGCTTCCTGCATAGCTGAGATGACAGGAATACACCATCATACCCAATTATTGGTAGAGTTGCAAACTTTACCTGTGTTGTCCTCAAACTGTAATCCTAATGATCTAGCTAGAATGGGGATGGGAATTTGTTGACTGAAAGGTTCTTAGAAAGTACCCACTTTTGTCACAGGGAGATGTTCTTTGGTGTTTATCCTTTTCCTGTTGTTTTTCAGAAGGAATCCATTTGTCACAGCATTTCTCAGCACTGTTATTTACTAGTTAGGTGTCTTTGGTCATGTCAGGTACTCTCATTTCTTAAATAGAGTAGTAAAAACTATCTCATAGGGTTGTTGATGATTATGAGAAATAAAAGCCTGTTTTAAACCATATAGCATGATTATTATTTTTGTTAGTTTTGTTGCTTGTCTCAGTTGGATTCTGGATTTGTTTTGCCAGAAAGCATTATTGTAGATCATTAACTTCAGCTTTTCTTTTCCATATAGAATAAGTATGTTGTATGTTTATTCTTTTGCATTACGTATTTTTACAAAAGTTTTCTCAAAATGTTTTTGGAATGCATTGGAATATAGAGTATGACTGAATTCACTGAATGGGTCAATCTGTGGAGCTATCAATCCACAGGCTAATAAATAAAAAAAGACCTTTCTTTTGGCCTTGTTTGCTTAACTAGGGTGCTGAGCAAACAAGGCCAAAAGAAAGGTCTTAGTTCCTATCCTTACTTTAAAAACAACACCATGCTCTGTGAAATAATAGAACTGAGAAACACCATTCTATTCTCTCTTTTCCCATTTCTGCCTTCAAATTAACTCTTTTCAAATGTATGAGGCATTTTTAAAAAAAGATGTTTATTAACTTTCTTCAGAAGTGAATGATGCTAACCAGGCTACAATGGTCTTTTGGTAAATCCTGCTTCCTGTGAAAAAGAAAGAAAATCAAATCATCAGCATAATAGAAGAGCAAATCAGATGCACATTTCCCTTCTCTTGCTTGCTTCTTTTTGCACCTGCTGTCCTCACAACCAGGCAATGAATTGCTTGAACATCAGGGAAAGAAAAATCTTCCTTACTTTCATTGTCACCTGCTCAAAAGAGCTGTCAGTGATTTAGGGAAAATGAGAGAAACATGTTCTGAATTGGGCTCCCATGAGTGGACCTGGTTAGAAGGACTTGGTTTGTACTTCAGCATCTCCAGCAGATTGTAGAGCAGCCTCAGGATGCAACTGAAGCCACACTCTTTTCTTGAGGGTGGAGAAACATATGGCTCTACTACTACCAGTGACCTAATGAAGGCACTTTTAATAAAGTCACCAATGAGGTTTTTATTTAAAATCTAGGACTTTACTCCAAACGCCCAGATATTTAAACTCATTAGCCATTTTCAAAGAGGCATGTAGTAAACAGGAAGTGCTCTAATGAAATTGGGCATACAGTATCCATCTTAGACCCAGGTCAAATGAGATTTGAATAGTTTTCTCTAGATTTTACTCAGAGGGATATAGTACGGATGAGTTGAATAGGGATGAAAGAATGACATTTCCTGAGGGAAAGTGGTAACACGCAAAAAAAAAAGTGGGAGATTAGCTGTGTGTGTGTGTGTGTGTGCACATGTGTTTTAGGACAAGTACTTAACTAGTCCATATTTAATTCTAGACATCTGAACCCAGCATGAATTTCTAAGCAACAATGGGAAATTTGGATAGGTTGAATGCAAGGGAGAAAAAACGATCCAAGTGGCAGACAGTTGAATCTGGCTTATTAAAACAGCACTTATCAGATTCTAAAATGAAAACTGACCATTTTCTTGGTTTGAACTTGCAGCTCCTTGCGAAGTACAAAGGCTTGCAATGGGACAAAGTCCTGCAGCTGGAAGAGGTGCAGGGCAGACTAGGGATTAGTCTGGAAGAAATGCAGGCAGTCACAGAGGATGCCCTTCACTCCGAACCCTACAGCCAGGAGGAGATTTGCAGGTGTCTGGGAATTAGCCTGGAGGAACTCCGAACTCAAATCCTGAGTCCAAATACTCAAGATGGTGAGTCTACTGGAGTAAGGAGAGCACGAGTCACTCCCTCACTTACGAGTGGAAGATTTTCCAACTACCCCATGGATCCAAATGATTGCAAAGTGCACTTTAGGGGACTGGAGAATATATGTGTTTTGACAAACTTAATTTTCTAGGTCTTTAGCTTCCTAAATTAATTAATTAACTCATTAATCACCAATCATTTCTTGGTATATGTCAGGCATTCTGTGTAGGCAAAGGTGGATAAGATATGATTCCTCAAGAGGTTCACAGCTCAATCTTTCTTTTTCATGTTATTTTTTTCCTATCCATTTTCTTTATATAAAAAGATAGAGGTTAGAGCATTGCTCATAACTGCTATGGAGTAATACTCTGGAACACCAGAAAATCTTTACTGCTTAAATTGAAACTGGCAGCCCACTTTAGTGTGGAAGCTCACCTTCATTTGCCTGCTGCTTTCAGGTAATTCTGGTTTTATACTGATAACATCAGGAACTGGGATGAAGGCTAGACACATATTGGAGGCACAGTCTTAGAGTAGCTGTTCCTCTAAGAAGTAAAGTTTGTTTATTTATGGGAGACCAGTATGCCAGAGAGCTAGTTAAAATTTAATTTCCCTCCAGAGGGAGTTTAGAGAGGGTGGGTGATAGGCACAAAGATCAGTCTCAGGGACCCATTTCCATCCCATCCTATTCAATTCAGTTCTACACCTGGCTATTGAGCATGTACTGTGCATTTGCCTGCAAGTAACGTCATAAAGTCTGAGACTACTGACAACTTAGGATAAGGGAGTAATCCGAGGGCAGGGATTGGGTGTCAGTTTCTAACATTGTCAGAATCATTTAAATTTGATGAACACTAATTGAGTCTCTAGAACCGGGATGAACAAACTATGGCCTACTGTCCAAGTGAGCCCTGCCACCTGTTTTTGTAAAAATAAACTCTCACTAGACCACAGCCATGTATTTGCCATTGTTGCTTTTGTGCACTACAACAGCAGAGTTGAGTAGAGAGACTGAATAGTCCACAAAACCTAAAATACTTCTCTTTGCAGGAAAAGTTTGTTGACTCTAATCCTGGAAAGTGGTCACTCAAAGCGTGCCTTAGTTTTGCCATAAAAAGAGGCATAATGGGAATGCCGCCCTCAGAAGAGCAATCTTGTAATGGGTTAAACAGAGTGCTTCATAACGATGTGCTCATAGAGAGATGAGTGTGTTAATGGAGGTGTTCTTGGGAGACCAGAAAAGTCAAAACTGTACTCACTAAGGAGAGAGCAACCAACCAAAAGTTAAATACTAAATAGGAATTTCTTAGGTAGACAAGCAGTCAGAAAGAATTCTGGGCAGACAAGTTAGCAGGTAGAGAGCAGAGAAGAATGATAGAGGATTCTACGTCCAGAGAAGTACAGAGTTAAGTGAGTGTTTTTTGAAAATAATTCCCATAATGGAGAGCAATTTTGCATCAGTCTGAGGTTGTAGATAGGCCCTGATCACAAAAGGCTTCGCTAGATGCTGTGTGTGTGTGTGTGTGTGTGTGTGTGTGTGCTTGCTTGCACATGTGTGTGCTTCATAGGGAATGGGGGAGTTAATAAAGTGTTTATTGAATGAAGAAATTGGGTAGGGCATTGGATGGGGAGAGAACCAGCCTTTCTCCTTTGATCTAAGACATCGTCTGATTTCTTTAACCAGCATTTTTCTTTTGATCTAAGACATTGTCTGGTTTCTTTAATTCAACAAATATACATTGATTTCTTTGGACAGGGTATTGTGACAGATGCTGCGATACAAAGATAAGCAGGACATGGTCTCTACCTCCTTGTGACTTAGTGTCTAAGAGGGGAGAGTGCTGCAAACCAATAACAACGCAAACTTAGAATATATGCAAATGTATAAATTATATGCAAACATATAGATTGTACCTGTTATAATAAAGGTACCCTGAAAAATAAAGTGCCCTGAAAGCATGGAGTGCTAAATGCCTGAAGAAAAGGGCTCAGATTTGAGCTGGCTCAAAGAAAGTTGTGAGCTGCCCAGACTGAGAGAGTTGACAAGCTATTCTAGAAACTAGAGCCTGAATGGGGACACAGAACCTTAAGGAGTAGAGTATTAAAGAAAGTGTGTCAAGAGACATGGTGTGAAGTATGAGATGGATTACAAATAGACTACCTGCCCATTTGGAAATGAGTTTTACTGTATACCAAATAACAAAAGCCTGAGAAGAGATTTTTGGTGGGTGGCTCAACTGGTATATTCTCAAGACTGCAAAAGAAATAGTTGGAATTATGTCAAGGAAGGGAGGGAGGGAGGGAGGAAGGAAGGAAGGAAGGAAGGAAGAAGGAAAGGAGGAAGAGAGGGAGGAAAGGAGGAAGAGAGGAAGGAGTGGAGGGAGGAAGTAAAAAAGAAAAGAAATAGGTAAGCAATAGAAGGTAAGTCAAGGCAAGATATGGATAGCTGAGAAAATTACAGAATTATAGTATGGAAAGTGATTGTGGAGGCAAGATAACAAGTTCATTTCTTTTTCTCTGTTGTTGAATCTGGTGTGATGGCAAGTTACCTAAATAAAACTGTAGAACAGGTGAAGATTCAAATGAAATAATTTTATTTGGTGAAGAGGTGAGGAAGTTTTAATAGATGCTGAGGATATTCACTGCCAATTTATGTTCTTAAAGCACCCTCTTCTTGCTGTCACTTCTTATTCAGAAAGCTTCAGAGGCTCACCATTACTAGTTGCCTTAACATGCTAAGTTTCTTCTCAGTTCAGCCTGCATTCTGTTCTGTCCTGTCTGCCTTTTGACTCCATGTATAGGGATGTGGGCAGTGTTACCTGGCTTAGCCTGTGCCCTTACTTCTCGGAAGCTTGGCCTTACCTCTGGGCTTTTAATCCTAAACGACAGTGTTCTTTTAACTGAACTTTCCTCTTTTCTAGGCAGATGCTTCTACTGCTTGAGCACTCTGCAGCCCAAAGTTTTACTTCTTTTTGGGCTTGAATTCGGGCTTCACCTTGCTAGAAATGCACTCTACACTTGAGTCATGCCTTCAGATCCCCCTTTTCTGAAATTTAGTTTCTATGTACCTGAAAATCTCAATGTAATTTTTATCTTTTCCTTATACTTCTCAACTCACAAACTATTCTCTTTATCTGTATTTGGTATTTCTTTTTGCACCTGCCTATCTTCCTCCCTTCCTGTTTTAGTATTTTGGGGAAAAATACAGAGGATAATTTGCTAATCATAGACATATATTGCTATGTAAATATTCAAGTCTTTTCCCTAAAGAATAACGACTTCATTGTTTTTGTAAAATGATACATGCTTCATTCTATCTTTTTATCTAAAATAACCACTCCACTGTCTCCCTTGTATCACTTCTATGACTTACTTATGTTTTCTTTATTTTCAATAAATCTATCTTAAATGAATGAATGAGATAGGAGGATTGCTATTGGAGGCTAGCTCATGTCATAGCTAGCAAGATCATACCTCAGAAAGAAGCTGGGAGTCATAGTTTGAGCTATGGGCCAGCTACTCAGGAGGGAGGTAGGAAGATCATGATCTGAGGCTGGCCTTGCCAAAAGCACAAGAACATATCTTAAAAACAAACTAAAGCAAAATGGCAGGGGGTGTGGTTCAGTGGTAGAGGACACCCTAAATTCAAACCCAGTACCACCAAAAAAAAAAAGAAAAAAAAAAAAAAAAGCAAAACAAAGGATGAATCCATTTTGTAATTCTATCACCCTCAAAAGGTTTCCTCTTTTACTTACTGAGTAGATTTAAAAAAAAAAAAAAAAGAAACTATGAGCATAAATGAGACTATGGATTCTGGAGTTGCCTAGATTAATATAATTTGATTTACTTTCTAACTCTAGCATCTAACCCCAGCCAAATTTCCAGCTGTATTTTAGGGACCCAAATCTTTTTATCTCTTTGGATTATTCTTCTGAATTTTTGGTTTGTTTGGTTTAAGACCTTAAGCAATTTTTTTTATTAATCATTTAGAAGACTATTGTTGATGATACTGTATTTAGGTGTATTAGTGGAGGCAAAAAAGACAAATGATGTCAGCAGGAGACTCTGGAGGGTCCACTTCCCTTTACTCTGGGTGCCTATACTTCAACATGCTTAGCTTTGACTTGAGCTAATTTTTCCATTATAGAATACCATGCCTTTTAGGGACATAGAGACTCTACCTTCTGTGCTCTTATTTTGTCAAAATTACTTTTTCACCTGGAGTTGTGAGGTATTCACCTTGAAGTGACAGTGTAGGGAGAGATGCTTAAATCAAACTGGCCTGCAGCTTCTGCTCAACCAGCCAGACTCCTCAAAGGTCATGTGCAGTTGTAATTTTCTCTTTCCAAATTTCTAAAATCAGATTTAGAAATGCCAAGAGACCCTTGAAATTAAACACACACAGAACAAAATCCTCACTCCTTTAGCTATTCTAAAGAATGGCTACAAGTATCATCAGGAACTGGCTAGGAATAGGTGTTCTTTCTGGGCATTGCCTACCAGTAGGAATTGTTTAAGTGTGTGGTCTAGTGGTCTGGGGTCCTAGAGGCTCAGGAACCACACTTAGTTGGGAGGGATATTTTGTAAGGTATGACCAAGAGGAAAAGTTGAAGCTGTGGCCAGATCCAGGAGAGATGAACACATGTGTCAGGCACAGGAGGCAGTCAAGGACACACATTAGAGGACAAATAGAGAAATTCATAGAGGAAATGGGAACTAAGGTAAGTATGGACCAGATAGTTTGGATACCAAGTTGCGAGAGGAGAATGTATTAGGAGCATTCCTTTTGGGGTGTCTGTAACTATGCTCTGGGATGGGGTGGCCTGGCCGCCTAGCTGCACTGTGCTGAACCAGACATAAATTTTGTTGCCTGGATTATCAACATTGCCTGTGACCATGTGCTGACAGAGTGCTGGCCAACTGCCGACTAATTTGTTTGAATCCTGTGACCTCCAAAGTCCTGAGTGCTAACCAGGGCCTTTGATTAAGCACAGGGCATTGGCAC